AAACCAGCCCCGGAAGTGCTTCCTCTCCCCAGCGAGGAGCTCTCTGACTCACAGCCCCAGCCTCCTGGGCGTCACCTCCACCTGGCTGTCTCCCCACTCAGCACAAGGCTACTGATGACAACTCCTCCTGCAAGTTCCCATCCCAGATCCCCCTCACAGGGGTCTAGCCACCCGGGCAGGACAAAATCAGCTGGCATGAGCCTTTGCAGGGGGCACCCGCCCACTGGCGGCAACCAGAGCCGGGGGAACTGGTGATCAGGACTCCTGGGTTCCTTGTCTGGCTCTGCCGCTGCCTCCCTGCGTCTCTGTGCCTCGGTTCCCCGCTGTGCAGCGGGCGGGTTAGTGACCCTGTCCCATTGTCTGGGAGCTGGGGGAAGGGGATGATGACCCGCCCAGGCCAGTACTATCACTACGACTCCACCTGCCCGGGCAGGAATGAGCCACAATTGCTGTGGACCCAAAGCTCCCAGCAGCCACAAGGAGCAGACTGGGCCCGCTGGCAGTGACTGTGCAGAAGGGCCCCCAGCTCCCAGCCAGGCTCCTTTGGGCACTGGACATGCAGGGCCCCAGGAGCAGCTGCTCCGTTCCAGCCTCCGGGCAGGGCCCTCTCTGTGCTAGCAGGAGAGACAGGGAGCTCTGATGCCCACGCAGGTGCCAGGCACAGACCTGGATCCCAGCCAAGGGGTCCTGCCTCTGCTGCCCCCGTGCCCAACAGCTGCCAGGCTTCCAGGGACGTCCCGATGCTGCTTGGGGCCCCTAGGCAAGGTGCCCGGAGCCAGCTAGGAGCGGAGCAGCCCCCCCGGCAGGGCCGGGGCCCTCAGAGCAGCACAGGGCCCCAGGTACAACCTTCTCTGAGCCCGCACCAGCCAGGCCGGTAGCGGGAGGGGCAGCTCTTCCCTGAGCAGCCTGGCAGGGAGCCTGCGCTCCAGCCAACGGGACGTGTTGGGACAGGACCTGCTGCTTCCAGGCAAACCTGCTGGAGGTGAAGGAGAGCAACTCGCCCCGCCCCGCCCCCGCGCTCCAGGGGGCTGCGCTCAGGATGGACCCTCTTCCCCACCGGTGCGGTGCACAGGGCAGGTCCCTGCTCTTCCGGGGGGACGGGCCAGGCCGTGCTATCCATCGGAGCAGCCCCCCCCACCCCCACAGACTGGAGCGGAGCTGTACAGAGCCCGGGCCCATAAGCCAGTGTGGGCACGTGAGGCTGGGATGGGCCCACCTGGGGCAGGGATTGGAGGCAGGGCTGAGCCCAGTACAAGCCAGAGAACTGACCTGGCACGTCACGGGCAGGATGAGGCATACACAGAGCTCTGGCTGTCCCGCCCAGCACCACGGGCCCTATCCTGATCAGGGCATCTGGGTGCTACTATGTACAACAGACACTGCCCCTGCCCCTGAGCAACAAGCCCCAGGCAGCACATGGCCAGCGAGAACCTGCTGCATTCACCCTGCCAGAGCAAAGGGCGCCCAGTCTGAGCTGCCAGCAAGGAGGGGAGCGCTCCCCGGGGCAGCGCTGGGCAGGGCAGTGCCCTGCGAGCACCCTTGGGTTGCTGGCCTGACCACAGCAGAGAAACCCAGATGGCAGGCTGGGGTGTTACTGGGAACAGACTCCTGCCGAAGGCTGCAGAGTTTGACCCCACTGGGTGGCAGGGAACATCCCTGTGCATAGAATCATAGAATAGACTCAGAGACTATCAGGGTTGGAAGGGACCTCAGGAGGTATCTAGTCCAACTCCCTGCTCAAAGCAGGGCCAATCCCCAGACAGATTTTTTTTTTTTTTAAACCACAGTTCCCTAAATGGCCCCCTCAAGGACTGAACTCACAACCCTGGGTTTAGCAGGCCAATGCTCAAACCACTGAGCTATCCCTCCCTCCCTGCCTGTCCACCCAGCCTGACGCACAGTGCTCGCCCTGCTGCAGGTCCCCACTGCCCCATCACCGCGGCCCTGAGCATTCTGCAATCGGGAACAGCTCTACCGTCCCAAAGCCCTGCCAGGGTGGGCAGTGCTGCTATCCCTGCAGTACCGCGACCTGTCCCAGGCTGCCCAACCCATGGGTAGTCCCTGGCCACTGGGCAAACCATGCTTCCTGGGCTCTGACCTCACCCAGCAGCTGGGAGCAGGGCAGGGCCCCCAGCACTAACCACACAGGATCCCGAATGCTCAGCACACAGGACAGACCACCAGACTGCTCCCCCTGGCCCTGGTGAGCACAGCCTGAGAGCAGGGGCATGACGGACGGAGGGGGGAAGTGCTAGAGCCGTGCCCATGGGAGAGGATGGGATCCCTGCAGAACACCCTGGCAAGGATGCCCTGGGGAGGAGCCGCTGCTCCCAGCAACAAGGCAGGATAGGACCCAGTGGAGCGGAAAGCAAACCCCTTCCCTCCCCAGCGACCTGCTCATGCCAGGCATGGTGGCGCTGCCTTCTCATGGGCAGGGAAGTGCCAGCACCTCCCCTCCCCCACCATTCCAGGACCTAGTTCAAAGCCACCCTCTCTATTCAACCCTCCCTGGACCGGCTCCAGCCAAACACACAGACCCTGCCGTTCCCCCGCCCCTGCTTCTCCAGCCTGGCCTCTGGGCTCTCAGGCAGCCCTCCCATGCCGGGTGCAGGAGCCTGCTCTGCAGCGTCTGCTGCTGGGACCGCTCTGCCTGACAGCGGAGCTCCCCCGGCTCCTACTGCCTGGAGCGGCTCTTCCATTGCTTCGCCCCGTCCACCCCTTACACCCCCAGCCTGGCCCTACCGCACGGGCCAGCATGTACCGTGGGCCTGCCCAGGCTGCACCCCCGTGCTGGCAGCCTGCCACGCAGCAACCATTCGGAGGCAAGCTGTGGCTTGCGGGGCTAGGCAGGGCACTGGTGTTTTGCAGCCTCAGCACCTAGCAGAGGTGTCACAAGCATTTCAACACCAGGGAGAACGTAGGCTGCAGGATTGCACCACGGAGTTGCAGAGCAGAGCACCATCCCACTGGCCCCTGGGGGAGGTCAAAGGGACGCTGGCAAGTGCTACACACATCACCTCGTGAGCTGGGGCCAGAGCCGCGGCGGGGCAAGCCCAGGCCCCCTCCACTCTCTGGGGTTCGCTGGGCTGGTCGCTATCCCCGGCTGGCCCGGGGTTCCCAGCCCACAGGGAGTTCAGCGCTTTCCCCGATCAGCAACAAACACCGGACGGGACACTTCTGCCCAGCTCCGGCTTGCGCAGGAGTGGGTTCAACCCGCCGACGTCTGGGCCCAAACTCCACAGAGGAGCCCCCGCGGAGCCCCCAAGCCCAGCCCCTTAGCCCTCCGGCTGGCCTACCCCAACCACCTCACCACCTAATTCCTCCCCCGCTGAGCACCAACACGGGCACAGCCCTATACTCCTCAGGGCAACGTCAGAGACCCTGTGGGGAGCTGTGCAGTGCAGACGTCCCCTGAGACTCCACTCAGCCCCACACCGAGGGAAGGGTCCCCAGACTCAGCTCAGAGTCAAGTGCAGGGGCAGGGTGAGAGCGTCCCGGAGCAACACTGGCCGTCCCCAGAGAACTCTCAAGCTCCAGGCCCAGCCCAGGGCAGCAGGGTGAGGGGGGATCCCCCCGACAGCATCACCTCCCCTTGTGCAACAGGTGCTGGAGGCAGGACCCAGGCAAGCTGGGTCATCGGGCAGGTCGGGCTCTACGGTGTATAACTTTCCTGCTGTGGCCAATGAAGGCTGGCAGGGGGTGAGCTGGGCCCTGGGAATCGGCCACCAGCAGGACTGAAACCCTGCAGCTCCAGAGAATGGGCCAGCCAGTGTGCACAGGCCCTAAGCAGGCTGTCCCCTGCCCTCACCTCCCCTGCCCCTGGAGCCAGCGGAGGGGCCTAGACGCAGCAGTCAGGAGCCTCTCCCAAAAGCTGCTGGAACCCAGGCCCATGCACAGGGGCCAGTGAGTTGGGGACGACTGGCATGGCGCTGTGTGCTGCCACCGGGGCAGTGGCATATCCCTTAGCAGGTGCCCATCTCCCAGGGACACGCCGTCAGCCGGGCGGGACAAGAGCCCGAAGGGCAGTGCTGCGAGCACGGGACTGAGGGACAGAGACAGACACAAACGCAGCCTCAGCCCAATCCCACTGCCAGCCCAACTGCTCCAGGGGAGCCAAGCCAGACGCGTACATCACATGCCACAGGGTGGGGAGGGCGTTTCTCTGCTCTCCCGGCTCCCACCTCCCCACCACTGGGAGCAATTCCACACAAATCCCCATGTCCCGGCCCAGCCCGGCCCCTCCTCCCTCCCAGTGCTGTGGGCCTGGGCCACACAGTGCAGTCAATGGGGCCAGAGGCACAGCCCGCCCCCCGTCCCCCCTGGAGCTCCTAGCCCTGCGCCTTCAGGCCTCAGCAGGTCCCATCCCTGCATTGACTAGCGCAGCGAGCGGGACACTCTGGAGAGGCCCATTGGTGACACACGTGGGGAGCGCTGTGTTGCGCGCTGTGCCACAGAGGAGTGTGTGAAAGGCGCTGCACTTGGCACACACACAACGCCAATGGCTGGAGACCGCTGGCGAGGCCAGGGACGGGACCGCAAAGCACTGCCCGGGGAACGTGCATGGTCTTGCCCCCGTGTCTGCTCCTACAGACATGCACGGGCGTGTAACACAACGTGTACCTGCTGGCAGTGATCTGTGCCCCAAGCCACAGCTCCTTCAGTGCCCCCGCCGGGCTCCCTCCTGCCGGCCCCGCCACAGCGCCCGGGGGGGGGGGGGTCTCCTTCCAGCCGGCCCTGCCCGGGCAGCTGCGGGACCCGGGACCCGGCTCCCAGGAGACGCCGGCCAGGGCCGGGCTCAGCGGGGCGCAGGGGGCGCGGCAGCGGAGCCGGGTCCCCGGTAGGGTGACCAGATGTCCCGATTTTATAGGGACAGTCCCAATATTTGGGGCTTTTTCTTATGTAGGCTCCTATTACCCCCCACCCTCTGTCCCGATTTTTCACACTTGCTATCTGGTCACCCTAGTCCCCGGCGAGCCCCAGCGAACCCGCCCCGCACTCACCGTAGTGCAGACTGACCCGCGGCACCGTCTCCTCGGAGGCCGAGAGCAGCAGCAGGGCCCAGAGCGCCGGGGCCAGCAGGGAGAGCGAGAGCCCGAGCCCCATGGCCGGCCGGGCGGGTCCGCTCCCGGGCAGCGCAGCGCAGCTCCGAGTCCCTCCGTCCGTCGGTCCCTCCGTCCGCCCCCCGCGTGGCGGGGCCTCCTGCGGCAGCCGGACCTGGGGGGAGAGAGCGCTCAGCGTGGGCGGCCCCGCCCCCCCACGGAACCCCGCCCCACCCCATAGAACCCCGCCCCCATGCTCCCGGCCCACCCCACGGAACCCCGCCCCCACTGGCCAGCCCCCCTGTCCCACGGAACCCCGCCCCCGTGCTCCCGGCCCGCCCCACGGCCCGCTCCCCTGTCCCACGGAA